ACAGTTTTCCCTCGGTATCTGCTGGACTTGGTTCCAGGACCCTGAGGAGAACGAGGTCAGCACTACCAGGTCCCCGCCAGGAGAGGGCTCGGGGTCCACGTAGACCCCACGCACGCCACTGTGCACATGCAGCTGGTCCTCATGACTTCTGAGGCCCCCTACAATGCCAGAGCCATGGAGGCGGCTGGTCCACTGCCTTTTTAGGACATAATGCCAAGAAGGCGAGCTCTGCGTGTTCAGTCCAGACACGTTTTTATTCCCAAATATTCCCACTCTGAGCCGAGTGGAATCTGCATGCGGACCGGCAGTCCTGGAAGCAGCTGTTAGAAGTTCAGCACAGTTAGAAGCTGCTCAGTAAATGATTATTCCTAGGACTACCCAGAGCGGCTCCTTCTTTTCTTTCCTTTCATACCTGCATTTCCAGAGATAAGCCTTCTCGGTGGGGAGTTCAGGTTGGCCTCAGACACATTATGTGGCCCAGGCTGGCCTCACACCTGCAGCAGTCCGAGTGCATGGGCCCCCACACCCAGCTCTTCTAGTACGCACATAACCCTTTCAGTACAGAGAGCTTTCCTGTTGAGTTACTCATGTGTAAAATGTCATTATACTGGGCCCTGTGAAAATTGGTGATGGCAAGAGTGGCCAGGCAGCCTTCATGCTGCCACTGGAGGAGTCCTGAACCTGCCTGCTTGTTTTGTTTTGGCTCAGTGTTTTTGTGTCTCACCATGGTGGTCAGAGAGCTTTAAGCTACACAGTTTTAAAAGTTTTTATTTGTTTTTGTTTTTTGGGGGGTTTTTTGGTACTGGGGATCGAACTCGGGACCTTGTGCTTGCTAGGCAGGCGGCAGAACCACTGAGCTAAATCCCCGGCCCTTAAAAGCTTTTATTTGTTTATTTGTTTATTTGCAATGCTGGCCAAGCTGTGGGCTCTGCGCATGCTAGGCAGGAGGTCCAGCCCTCTCTGAGCTCCAGGAAGCAGCGCCTTTCCCAGGCGCTTCTGTCTCCCTGCCATTCACACCCCTGTCTGCTCCCACCCGCAGATGCCACTGGATGTGCTTCGGAATGAGCTGTCCAACAGCATCCTCTCCCTGCAGCCGGAGCCTGAGGTCCCGCCCGAGCTGCCCCCACCTCGGCCGAATGTGCGGTGCTGCTGATCTCCACCGAGGAGGGCCAGCGTCTCTGCACTACAATCATGTTGACAATTTCCTTTTGCACTTTGTAATCCAAGTCAGCTATACACTAACTTGTACATATGCAGATATGCAATCCTGAGTAAGTCTGGGTGAGCTCGCGTTCCCCTCTGATCCTGTTCATCCATCGATCCTGGGCCCTCATCCACCTGGGGCAAAGAGCAGGAGAGAGGAAAGGTGTGATGTGCCTAAGTAATGCAGTTGTCCTTGTCATTTATGCCACAAGGACAGAAGATATTCTGCTAAGAAGAGAGAACGTGGTGCTTTGCTTACTGTTTCAAAGAAAATTTGTAAAACTAAAGACTTTTTGAGAACGAAGCTATGTTAAGTGCTTTTTCTTTATTTACAAGACATTTCCTGCTGTAGCATCTCAGAACACTGGAACAAGCTGCCCTGGAGCTGGCGCCGAAGGTTGTTGCCACAAGGTAAGGAAGGGCTGGACTGGACTTGGCTGGAGGCTGCAGAATCTCGGGTTTCCTGGTGCACGGAGGAATCCCGTGCTTTTAGGAACTGTTGCTAAAGAAAGAAGTGTTTTTGAAATGATAGAAAAGATTTTAAAACAACGCTGCCATCCTGAACAAATCCTGTTGAAAGGGATATAAAGAGATGCATTGCACTGTATCCAAGAGCACATGTGTATCTTTCCTGAGCGCTCTGTCTCTAAGGATGGAACTCGCCCCTCGGCGGAGCCCACGGCTAGATGCCTTGACTGTTTCTTTTCTGTTATTTTATTTTACTTTTTGGTCTGATACTGAATTGTGGACTCTCTTTGGTATATCTTTTATCGAACTGCACCGTGCTGTTCAGTCGAGGTCAGCAGTCCATGCGGACTCACCTGGCGTGTCCCGAGCGTCGTGGTCTTTCTACACTAATGAAGTGCAAATAAAATTTGGTATTTATGAATGACAGTTGTGGAGTCGCCACATTTACTCCTTCGTTGTACACTATGAACACAGCAGTGTCCCCGGCTGCACTCCTCCATCTCGCCACTGATCTAAGGAGGAAAAGCCAAGTGTCCTCCGTACTGGGCAACAGTCCAGGGCTCAACAGGGGCCCCTGGGTGTAAGGACTCGAAAGAGCAGGTCAAGTGTTGATGACAGGGTTTGCGCGCAGCAGCCTGATTCACAGCAGCCCACAGGGAACCAAACCCAGTGTTTGTCAGCAAATTAATGGATAAACACAGTGTGGTTTGTGCCAACCATGGAATAGTACTCAGCCTGAAAAGGGAAAGAGCACATGGATGAGCTGGAGGTCATTGCGCTAAGTGAAGTAAGCCAGTCACAAAGGCAGGATGTGGTGATGCCACTGTGAGGTACAGATGAGTGGGAAGATGCATACAGAGGGACAAGTAGTGGTGGCCAGGGCTGGGAGGAGGGAGGGGCTGGAAGTTGCTGCCCCCTGGATGCAGTGCATCAGCTGGGGAAACGTCCTGGCCGTGGGTGGTGGTGGAGCTAGCTTGCTGCTCATGTGTAGAATGCTGCTGAATCATGCACTTAAAGAGCAGTGTGTAACAAGGCCTGCTGGTCCCCCCGTGGGCTGAGGCAGGAGGCTCTCCCGTTTGGGCCAGCCTGCACAACTTTGCAAGACCCTGTCTTAAAACAGTAAAAGGAGCTGAGACGGAGCCCAGCATGAGCCTTGGGCTCACTCTCCATCAGAAGGAAGTGCGGGCCGGGGTCTCGGCCTGTGATCGAAGCCAAGGACGGAGGGCCGAGTTCAAGCCCAGCAGACCAAGTAGAGGGACCTGGCGCACACCTTCATCCCTGCTCAAGGGGCTGCCCGTGATTCCCATGCGAGGCCCACTGGCTGCACCTGCTGCTGCTGCTGCACTCTCAGCTCAAGCCTGCTCCTCTGCATCCCGCTCTGGTGCTCGGCTGGGGAGGAGGGGGACTCGGCTCTGGGCCAGGCCCGGTCCTGACGGGTGACGGGCATCCACCGGGTGACGGGCGTCCACCCTCTGCCGTCACCTGCTGCACCATCAGCACCACTGGACTGCCCGCGAGCAGTTCCTGTGCCCCAGGCTCGCGAGGTCCTTTGAGCTCCCAAGCCCCTGTCCATGGTGGCAGCTCCTTGCCTCCATCACAGGTTGCTATAGTGAATTTCTGTTTAAATATACCTTCCTCTCCAGGTGTGGTGGTGCACTCCTGTGATCCCAGCACTCAGGAGGCTGAGGCAGGAGGATCACTGAGTTGGAGGCCTGCGTTACATAGTTCAAGACCTTCTGGGACTCCATGGTGAGCCCCCGTCACAAATCTGTAGCTGCTGTGGCCACAGAGAGGCTCCAGTCTGTGGAGAGCATGGGAGCTGAACCCGGCGGAAGATGGCCAGGACCCCTTGTAAAGCAGAGAGCAGCAGGGCCCGGTCTACCCTCGTGGTCCCAGTCCGCCTCTGTGTCCCCCTCGGGGCTCAGCCGTGCAGCAACACAGCAGGCGGTTTTCTCCATTGCTTAACTTGAGGGATGTGTGTCCATTGATGACAGTAAAATGTGGCCTGGCTGTGGGGGCAGCAGTGGGGACAGCGTCCTGTGCCTGGGGCCAGGGCGGCGGCTGGCAGAAGGGGAAGGTGGCGCTTTCTTGATCATCGATCACACCTCCTAGCGCTCGGGGTGGGCGGAGGACTCGAGCTGCTTCCCAGTGGCGAGGCGATGGCTGAGTGTGTGAAGAGAAAGCGGGAGGACCCTGAGGGGGCTGTGGCAGTAAGTCTTGCATGGCTGTCGTTTAGTCACACACACACGTGTTTGCAGTCCCGTGATAAAGCTGGGAACACGGGGGAACAGGACCAGTCGCTGGCTCCAGCCCTCACTCCCGTTTCACCAGTCCATGCCTGGCCTTGGTGGGGATCAAGGCCAGGCAAGTGCTCTACCCCTGAGCTGCAGCTCAGCTGATCTCCTTTTGTAAATCGCCCCATAATAGTAATAACCATGCTCTGTCTCCAGATCCCTCCCTGGACCTCCGTGCCGCCTCCGTGAGTACACAGAATGTTCTAGAAAGGCTCCCTTCCTCTGCTCGTCTTCGTGCTCCGGGGAGAGGGAGGTTTGCCGGTTTCTCCTGAAGTCATCTCTCGGCTGCCCTCATTTCGCTGAGGCTGCGAGTGGCCAAGGGCTCTGGGCAGGCTGCGCCTTCCTGCTGCCGTGGGTGACTGGCCAGGCCAGGGTCAGCCGGGAGCGCTGTCCCTTTGTGACGCTTTGGGGGCAGCACTGGCCGTGTCTTGTGCTGAACATGAGCTCAAGCCTGCTGGCAGCTTAAGAGACAGGCACTCTGCTCCCTCCGGGCTTGGTCAGGGCCACAGACTGCTCAGAACCGCCACCGCCACCGCCATCTTGAACCGTCGGGGTTTCTGCAGGAAGAGACCGCTGGGAGGTGTTGGGGAAGGGAGATGAGGAAAATGGGGCAGACGCAGGCCATTCAGCTTTGGAGACTCTGAAGTCACCCATCCACCCTGAGCCTTCGGTGGTCCACCCAGGCGAGATGGGGAAGATTTACACCACTCTCCACTGGGATTTCCTCTTACCAGCTGAAAGCACCCTCACTCATCCCAGCCACATTAGCTTTCCTGCTTCTGGGAAAAGGCTTGACACCCACAGTCTAAAAGAGAAGAGGTTTATGCGGCTCATGGTTTCAGGGGATTCAGTCCATGGTCAGCCGGCTCCAACCAAAATCATCAATGATGGAAGGGCATGGTGGAACAAAACTTAGTTCGTGGTGGCCAGGAAGCAGAGCACATTGGAAAGGGCAAGGAACCAGGTGCAGTCCCCAGGGTGATGCCCCACCACCCACCCAGACGTACCCGGAAGTGTGCTTTGCTAATCTGCCAGGGAGATTCATCCAGTCAAGTTGACAGTCATGATCAACAATCACACCGTGGCTCTGTCCTCAGCTCAGTGGTCAGTGTGCCCCTCACCCACGTCTGTGGCCCAGGTACCGGTGACTTCTCATTGCCTGCACAGACCACCCCTAAGCACCAGGCACAGCCAGCAGGCTACCTCCTGGCACATCACAGGGACACCAGAAACAAGTGACACTCATTTCAAACTGACGCTCCAGCGTGTCCCCTGTAATCCGTACCTAGTGAGAGGAGCCATCATCCTCCCAGAACCCCAAGTCTGACATCAAAAGTGACCCTAGACAGCACTTTCTCCACTGGCTCCGTGCCACACTGAGCCAAACCCTTTTCTTACCAACTTGCTGCCTTGGTGGAAGACCCCAGGATCCTCATTTGCATATTTTTATTTTAATAAAATGGGGTCTCACCATGTAGTTCAGGCTGGCCTTGAACATGCAGCCTCCTGGGTCCTGGGATAACAGGCAAGCACCACCACACCCAGCCTCCCATTTGCACTCACAGCAGTGGTCCCTGACTCATGCATATATTCGAATTATTCTCTCAGTTCCAGCCACGTTCCCAAGTTTACTCTGTTAACCGTCCTTGCATCATGAAAACACACCCAGAAATCTCATTTCTTTGGAGCACTTGCCCCAAATGGAGAGATTTCCTCTCAACTCTACCCAAGATTTTAGAGATAGCTCATCTAAATGCTGGCAGGACATATTATTTTACCTGTTTAACAGTGTCTTGGGGAGATTAGGAAACCTGACCGAATCTATGCTAAGGAGGAGCACAGCCGGCCCGGAAGCCCAGACTCCTTGCTGTCTGCTCTCAGCCTTTGAGAAGATTTACAGAGGCGTTGGTTTAAACATGTAGAAACATGCCCCTTATCTATCCAATAACCAGCCAGTGGGCTGCAGCTTTTGCCCACTGGAAGATGCCCCCAAATCCTGTGTTCTTTTTTTTTTTTTGGTACCAGAGATCGAACTCGGGTCCTTGCGCTTGCACAGCAGGCAATGAAACCGCTGAGCTAAATCCCCGGCCCCCTGTGTTCTTATCGGCATTTTAATTTGCCGGTGTCACTAGTGTGGTTTAAACACAAGCACTGCCTTTAAAGGTCTTTTGAAAGCAAACTTGGATGAAACCAGTTAGCAAGATTTTGAGTTTCACTGAAGCAGGTGAATAACATTAACTAGAAAGTTTAAACTCAGCAATATCAAGAGAGATTGTCACAGTGTGTAAAAACCCAAGAACTGAATATACACCATCTAAGTAGACCCACCTCCACACGAGGACAAAGACAAAACTAAAAGGATGGACAAAGACATGAAAACACTAAGAAGAAGACAGCTGGAGTGGTTAGGCTTCAGGGGCTCTGGGCTTAGCTCAGTGGTAGAGGGTTGGTCTGGCTCTATGAGGCCCTGGGTTTGATTCCCAGCACCACCAAAGAAGAGTGGATATCACAGAACAAATATATACTGCTGGGGGAAAAGTATTACATAATGAGGAGCAGTTTCTTAAGAAAACAATCTTATAGGTAATTACCAACAGAGCTTCAAAATACATAAAGCAAAAATCAATAAAACTGAAAGGAGAAATGAATGCGCAATTCTCCATCATCAATAGAACAAGTAGCCAGAAAATCAGAGAGGCTCTAGGAGACCTAATTGACCTGGGTGACAATGTTAAACTTGACCTAGCTGAACCCTCTCACAGGTGGTGAATGCATTCTGTTAAAATATACATGAAGCAGTCAACAAGACGAATCCTCTTCCAGGCCATAAAACAAACTTTAACAAAAGCCAAAAGAAATGAAACCATATATTTTATTATGCCACAACCGAATTAAACTAGAATAACAAAAGAAAATACCTAGAAAATCTCCAAATGTGTGTTGTTGTTTTTATAAAACAGTACACTTCAAAGTAACCCATGTGTCCAAAAGAGAGAATTTGAAAATATTTTCAGTGGAACAAAGATGCAGATATATCAGAATGTGTGGGATGTCGTTGACCCAGGATGCAGGTCGGAGCTTGCTTCGTTGATGATGGAAATTAAAACGGACAGCGCAGTGCTAAGGCACAGG